GTTATCTATCAATCTACGTATCTCTGTCTATCATCCCCACTTTCTATCCTCCTTTCTCTCTCTCTCTTCTCTCTCTCTCTTTTCTTTCTCTCTCATAACTATCCTACCTTTTGCTATCTATCAATCAATCTACGTATCTCTGTCTATCCATCCACCTTTCTATCTCTTTCTCAATCTCTCTCTCCAACATTATCTTTTATGCTCATCCACCACCACACAAGTTCATACCAAGTCCATGCCAAATCCACACCAAGTCCACGCCAAGTCCATGTCAGTTTCACACAATAAATCCACACGCAGTCCACACCAAGTCCACACCATATCCACTTCAAGTCCACCCCAAATCCACACGTAGTCCACACCAAGTCCATATCAATTCCACACCAAGTCCATAACCAATCCACCCCAATTCACACCAAGTCATCCAAGTCCCCAAAATCCACACCAAGTCCATCCAAGTCACACCAAGTCCATCCCAAGTCCACCCCAAATCCACACCAAGTCCATCCCAAGTCCACACCAAGTCCACATCCCAAACCCACACCAATCCACACCAAAGTCCCATCCCAAGTCCACCCCAAATCCACACCAAGTCCATCCCAAGTCCACCCCAAATCCACACCAAGTCCATCCCAACACCCACCCGGGGCGAAGATGCCATCCCCGTCCTCGAACCCGTAGAGCTCCACCAGCTGGCGGATGACTTCATGCTCCACCAGCATGAACACGGGAGCCACCTCGAACGTGTACCTGTGGAGAGCAAGTGGTTGGGTGAGCGTTGGGGTAAGGTCTCTTGTCTCGAGGTTATGTTGGGGTGTATGTGGGGTTTATGTGTTATTGAACTACCTGTGGAGAGCGAATAGTGGTGAGTAAGTGAGGGTCTTTGATGGGGTGTATGTGGGGTTTATGTGCTATTGTGCTACCTGTGGAGAGCGAATGGTGGAGTGTATGGGGAGGGTCTCTTGTCTCGGTGTTATGTTGGGGTGTATGTGGGGTTTATGTGTTATTGAACTATCTGTGGAGTGAGTATTAGGGGAGGGTCTTTTGTCTCGGTGTTATGTTGGGGTGTAAGTGGGGTTTATGTAGCGGTGTTATTGTACTGCCTGTGGAGAGCGAATGGTGGATTGCATATTAGGGGAGGATCTTCTCTATTGGTTTTGCGTGGGGGTGTATGTTGGGGTGTATGTGAGGGTGTAGGGGTGTATGTGGGTGTTTGTATGGGTGTTACTGTCTTCGTGGGTTGTTTCTGAAGTTAAATCTTAAATAAAAATCTAATAAAAATGGGTTTATTGTAAAATAGATACAGTTTGTTAGGAGAGAAGAGGGGAGGAAGAAGGGTGTGGGAGAGGGAAAAGGGGAGGAGTAGGACAAGGAGGAGGCGAAGGAAGGAACAAGTAAGGAGAGAAAGAGGAAGAAAAAGATGAAAAAAACACAACAACAAAGAAACAACAATAAAACAGAATACGAAAAAATTACGACATAGTATTTTCTCAATTCTTTATCCTTCAAGACGTCGTGCGAGAACCACCCACTCACTGGTTCGTGTTGAGGGCCTCTGTGAGCCAAGCCCCGGTCAGCGCCACCTCGTCGATCCCCGCGTACAGCTGGTTGTAGAAGTGGGGGTGGGTCGTCCTCACGCTGTACCGGACCACCTGCTCGAGGAGGGCGTGCGCCTCGTCGGGGGAACAGCCGTCGTGGCCAGCTCGCAGATCGAACAGTTTCTGGAACGAGGGAGGAGGGGGTGGCTGGTCATTTTGCGGGATCGTTGTGGGTTTCTATTTCGGTTGGGTTGTGGGGAAGGGAGGAGGATGTAGCTGTTCATCTTTGCGGGTTGCTGTGGTTCCTATTTAGGCTGGGTTGTGGGGGAGGGAGGGAGGGAGGAAGGGAGGAGGGAGGAGGAGGAGGGAGGGAGGAGGAGGAGGGAGGGAGGGAGGGAGGGAGGGGGGAGGAGGGAGGGAGGAGGGAGGAGGGAGGGAGGGGAGGGAGGGAGAGGGAGGGAGGAGGGAGGGAAGAGAGAGGGAGGGAAGGGAGGGAGGGAGGGAAGGAAGGAGGGAGAGAGGAGAGGGAGGGAGAGAGGGAGGGAGGGACTGAAGGATGGAGGAGGAAAGGATGGATGGATGGATGGATGATGGATGGAGAGAAGAGGGAGGGAGGGAGGAGGGAGGGAGGGAGGGAGGGGGGAGGAGAGGGAGGGAGGGAGGGAGGAGGGGGAGAGAGAGAGAGAGAGAGAGGAGGAGGAGGAAGGAGGGAAGGAAGGAAGGAAGGAAGGAGAGAGGGGGTAAAGAGGAGAGGAAAAGGGGATGAAGAGGAGGACGGGAGGAAGGGAGGAAGGAGAGAGTGGAAGGAAAGAGAAGGAAGGAGATAGAAGGAATAAAGGGAGGGACAGGGGATGAAGTCGAGAGACCGATGGGTGGTGACTTCTGATTGCCTGGAGCGGTCGTGAAGCGGAGATGAGGGGGTGGTGAGGTGCTGGCAGCGTAGTCGTTGCCGGTTCGCCATTGAGCGGGGAAATATAAGGAGGGGGAGGATAAAATGAATGAAATGTGATAACGGGTACCTAATTACGATCATACTAATGAGATATAGTATTATATAATCGGATAATATATGATATGAAATCAGTGTAGATCATAAATGAATAAACAAATACATGCAGTAATAATAATAGATTAACCATGTATTATATATAATATATTGCAAGATGTTTATAACCGTTGTTCTGATTTGCCGCATCGCACTGAAATGATGATTATATAGTGATATCGATGTGTATAATGAAATAATAGGAATTAAAATAATAAATACATGCTGATTAAACAAATTAACTAAATCTATCACATATGATAATTGTGGGTATGCACTATACACTATCATTCGCTCGATAAAGCAATCATGAGTAAGTAGGCCATAGGTACTTATTAAAAGTGTGGATTATTCAACTTATTTGGAATGAAAAATTTCTGTTATCGTCATAAAGAAACTGTTATCTGTGGACTGGCTTTCTTGGTGATTATTTATTATCTTGATTACTATATTAATGTATACTTGCTGATAATAATGAGAACGATAATAATAATGATAATAACCGGTTGATATGATGATGATGAGATCACCATTATCCTAATAATGATTAATAATTATCTCTAATAATGATAATGATGATGGTGATATTGATAATAATAATAATGATAACAATAATAATAATAATGATAATAATGATAATAAAACAATACTAATAGCAATAATAGTAATAATAACAAAAAATGAAACAAATAATAACAACAATACTACTCTGTGCTACTATAAACTGATACCAACAATGGCAACAACAACAGCAATAAAAAAAAAAAAAAAAAAACAAGCGCCATTACCTTCAGTTCCTCGGGCTGCTTGAACTCGATCACCTTCTCGGGCGCGTCGACCCCCGTCACGATCTTCTCCCGCAAGACGATCTCCAGAATCTTCTTCAGCAGCTCTCCTCCTTCGTCCTTCCTCCTTCCTCCTTCTTCCTTTCCGTTCTCCGTCGCCCCGTTCTTGGCCGCAGCTCCGTTGACGTGCGCGCAGCCGTTGGTGAACGCGGTGTCGAGCGGCGCCTTCTTCGGGTTTTGCGCTGTGCTTCCGTTCATGGTGGCGAACATGGTGGCGAGGCTGGAAGGGCGAGAGGGATTTATGGAAGGGATTTATAAGAGGGATTTATTGAATGGGATTTATGACAGGGGTGTTTGCGTAGGGATTTATGAATGGGGATTTATGAGAGGGATTTCTGGGTGGGATTTATGAGAGGGATTTCCGGGTGGGATTTGTCGAATGGGATTTTTGGAAGGGATTTATTGAATGGGATTGGGATTTTATTGAATGGGGATTTATGACAGGGGTGTTATGGTAGGGATTTATTGAATGGGATTTATGAGAGGAATTTACGGATTCTTTTTTGGAGGGATTTGTTGAAGGGATTCATGAGAGGGAATTATGGGAGGGGTAGATGTGAGTGATTTATGGGAGGGGTTTATGAGAGGGAGCAATGGAAGTTTTTTTTTTAATGATTTATTGAAGGGATTTATTGATTTATTTATTGCAGAGGTTTATTTAAGGGATTTATGGGGGGTTTATGTGAGGGATTTATGGGACGTGTTCATTTAAGGGACTTAAGAAGGTGATTTATGGAACGGATTTATCAAAGGGGTTTATGCCAATGATTTATCAATGTGGTTTATGAGAGGGATGTTTGAAGGGAATTTACTAGAATGATATATTACAAAGATTTATCGAAAGGGTTTACGAAAGATTTACGAGATTTATGAATGGGATTTATCAAGGCGGTGATTTGTTCTTCAGATCAGAAGGAAGGGAACGGTAGCGGGGCAAGAGAAGTCAAAGAACACGAGATATTCACACGAAAAGTTTTATTGCACACGGCACCAGCGGCGCGTGCTCTGGCGGGTTCGAAGGCGAAAGACCCAACGAGTGGGCGGCGAACAGGGCGGCCAGAGGGGGTCGTTAGCTCTAAAAGCAGGAAGCGATTTGGGACAAGATCGTTTGTGCTTCTCAAACACATATAAAATGGCTTGCCACACACACACACGCACAACACGCGCACACGCGCACACACACAACACACAACACAGACACACACACGCACGCACGCACCACACACGCGCACACACGCGCACACGCACACCACGCACGCACGCACACACACACACACACACACCGCCGCACGCACAGCACAGCACGACCACACGACGCAGCACACACGCACAACGCACACACACACACACACACACACCACAACAACACACACACACACATACACACGCAACACGCACACAAACACACACCAACAAACAAATACCACACCACACAAAAAGCCAAAAAAAAGAAAGACGAACCAAACATAGACTACAAACCAAGCCACACAACGTCACAACATCAAAAATAAACCACGCACACCACTCATACACGACCGCACGCACAGCAGCACACACACCGCAACGCACACA